AAAAGACTATCATTAAGAAACCAAATGCAACAAAAGAAGGCATTAAATTTGGAAAATCATAAAAATTGATTTTCCTAAGCTCTTTTTTTGTCAATTTTGTCTATTTTTCCCCATATATAAACTGATAGTAATTTTATGTCCAATACGTAATAATGGTTTCAAGCATACTTTGCGATGGATTTGTTTTGCAGACAAGCTTCAAAATATTTGAGTAGAGGAATATACGTAGAAGCAATGTACGTATTTCTATGATTTCTCACAAGATTTAAGTTGTTTTGATTTTGCGGAGTACTATCTTAATAAAACATTGTTATACTGGCCAATCATATTTTTTTCGTATTTTTACAAAAATAGAAATAGCGCGATACTGACCAATCATATTTTTTTCGTATTTTACAAAAATGGATAATTGATAAACATCTTGATACTGACCAATCATATTTTTTTTTGTATTTGACCAAAATGGATAGTTGATAAACTTTTCGATACTGACCAATCACTTTTTTTTGCATTTTTACGATAATTGATAAATATCACATCTCGATACTGACCAATCATAATCAATCTAATGTTTAACGGTTAAGCATGAAGGGCGAGTAAGGTTGCCGGTTTAAGTAATAATTACAGACATTAATTACAACCCGTAATTGTCGTAAAAAACATAAGTAATTATGTCTTGCCGGGGTTCGAAAGTCAAAGTATGATTTCTTTGAAAGTACTTACGTTTAAACCAATCAAAATACTTTTAACATTTCAGTAGAATGCTTTAATATATAAGGGAGGGTCAGGTATTCTGGCGCACTGCAAATGTAATAATATCTACATACTGCATAAACTTTATAATTGGCCGAATTCAATAATATAAATAATAAATTACTAAATTAAGCAGATTCTTAAGGGGTGCCGGGCATTCGAATACACTTTAGTTAATTTTTGTTTTTTATTTTTATTGACGTTGCTTGAACTTTGTGGCCAAAAGTTTCCAAGAATTCCAATTAAAGCGAATTTAACACTATTCGATTCGTCTCAGTAAGACGAATCGAATGGTACTAAAAAATTTCGTCTCCAATCGGTGTATCGCAGTATATCATCAAAAAACACAAGTGCGCCACATTACCTTCCGTGCCAGAATACCTGACCCTCCCTTACGTACAGTAGTATATATTTGGTATATTTGGACATACTCGTGATTATTGACATCTACCAGCTACATGTAAATTTGTTCTCAATTAGTTGTCATTAGCAAGCTTATCTTATTGTGCTAACTATTACATGTTTTAAGTGTGTTTATCTTTATTTGAATGTGATACTGTATATTCATTTAAGCTATCTTTTATATAGCTTTTTCATAATGAAATCTAATTCTACCATCTGCATTTTTACAAAATGTGA